AACTCTTACAAATTAATACCAAAAAAACACAACCCACTAGAAAAATAGGAAAGAGACTTCAAAATTAAATCAATAAACCAAGATATCCAAATAACCAATAAACATACCAAAGGTGCTCAACTGCGTTAGCAATCATAAAACGCAAATTAAAACTACAAAGAGTTTATGCTAAACACCTTCCAGAAAAGTTAAAATTTAAAAGACCATTAATATTAAGTGTCAATTATAGACCAATGGCACAGAATAAAGAACCCAGAAATTAAGCCACACACCTACAGTCAACTGATCTTTGAAAAAGTCAATAAAAATAAAAAAGGGGAAAGGACACACTATTCTATAAGTGGTGCTGGGAAAACTGGCTAACCATATGCAGAAGAAAACTGGACCCCTAGCTTTCACCATATAAAAAAATTAACTCAAGATGGATTAAAGACTTAAATATAAGACTTCAAACTATAAAATCCTAGAAGAGGCTGGGCATGGTGGCTCACGCCTGTAATCCCAACACTTTGGGAGGCCTAGGCAGGCGGATCGCCTGAGGTCAGGAGTTCAAGACCAGCCTAGCTAACATGGTGAAACCCCATTTCTACTAAAAATACAAAAAAATTAGCTGGACATGGTGGCAGGCGCCTGTAATCCCAGCTACTCGGGAGGCTGAGGCAGGAGAATCACTTGAATCCGGGAGGCGGAGTTTGCAGAGAGCCAAGATCGAGCCACTGCACTCCAACCTGGGCGACAGAGCTCCGTCTCAAAAAACAACAACAACAACAACAACAAAAACAAATAATAATAATCCTAGAAGAAAACACCTAGGTAACACTCTTCTGGACATTGCCATAGGCAAAGAATTCATGACTAAGTCCTCAAAAGCAAACACAACAAAAACAAAAACTGACAATTGGGACCTAATTAAACCACAGAGCTTCTGCATAGCAAAAGAAACTATCAATTGAGTAAAGAGACAACCCACAGAATGAGAGAAAATATTTTTAATCTATGCATCCAACAAAGGACTACTATCCAGAATCCATAAAGAACTTAAATCAACAAGTAAAAACCAACAAACCCATCAAAAAGTACGCAAAGGGCCAGGTGGGTAGCTGACGCCTGTAATCCCAGCACTTTGAAAGGCTGAGGCGGGAAGAGGATTGCTTGTCCCAGGAATCTGAGACCAGCCTGGGAACATAGGGAGACCTCATCACCCCCCAACCCCCCCCAAAAAAAGAATTAGCCAGGTATGGTGGCATGTGCCTATGGTCTCAGCTATTCAGGAGGCTGAGGTGGGAGTATTGGTTGAGCTTGGTAGTTCGAGGCTGCAGCGAGCTATGATCATGCCGCTGCACACCAGCCTGGGTGACAGAGTGAGACCTTGTCTCAAAAAAAAATTGCACAAAAGATATGAATAGACACTTCTCAAGAGAAGACACAACAAGTGGCCAACAAACCTGAAAAAATGCTCAGCATCACTAATCATCAGAGAAATACAAACCAAAACCACAATGAGATACCATCTCACACCAAGCAGAATGGCTGTTAATAAAAAGTCAAAAAATAACAGATGTTGATGAGGTTGGAGAGAAAAGGGAACATTTAAACACTGTTAGTGGAAATGCAAATTAGTTCAGCTCCTGTGGAAAGTAGTTGGGAGATTTCTCAAAGAACTGAATATAGAACTACCATTGACCCAGCAATCCCATTACTGGGTATATATCCCAAGGAAAGTAAATCATTTCAGCAAAAAGACACATGTGCTCGTATGTTCATTGCAGCACTATTCACCATAGCAATGACTTGGAATCAACTTAGGTGCTCATCCATGGTGGATTGGATAAAGAAAATGTGGTATGTATACACTATGGAATACTACACAGCCATGAAAAAGAATGAAATAATGCCTTTTGCAGCAACACAGATGCAGCTGGCAAGTGAATTAATGCAGAAACAGAAAATCAAACACAGCATGTTCTCACTTATAAGTGGGAGCTAAACAGTGGATACACATGGACATAAAAATGAAACAGTAGACACTGAGGGCAGAGAGTTTGGAAAGGAGCAAGGGTTGAAAAACTACCTATTGGGTACTAAGTTCACTATTTGGGTGACAGGTTCAATATAAGCCTAAATTTCAGCATCACACAATATATTCATGTAACATACCTGCACATATACCCCTTGAGTCTTAAAAAAAAAAGCCTACTAAGTGTTGATAAGGATGCCTAACAATAAGATCTCTCATATACAGCTGATGGGAACATACGTTGATGACGCACTTTAGAAAAAGTTTAGTTTTACCTTCTACAGTTGATTCTATGGATATTGTAGACGTAGCAATTCTACTCCAACTGAAATGTGCTTTCACATGTACGTTGAGAGACATGTACAATAATGTTCTTAGCAGTACTTTTCATAATAGCCAAAAAAACTAAAACAAGCAAAATGCAGAATAAGTACTATTCATTGACAGAAGCGTCAGCTGTGGTGTGGTCATACAATGGAATACTGTATAGTAATGAATAAGAAAAACTATGGTTCCACTCAATAATCTCACGAACATAATGTTGGGCATTTTGAACCAGGTGACATGCTGTATAATTCTGCTTACATAAAATTTAAAAAAAAAAAAAAAAACCCAGCCCAAACCAAATTATAGTTTTTAGCGATAAAATATATTAAGAGAAGCAATTAAGTGGTTCCTGTAGAAGTTGGGAAATTGGCCCAATGACCACCTGTATCAGACCATCTGCCCCAAATCTACTGAACAATAATTACTGGGGATTTAGCTTAAAAATTTGCACTTTTAAATTCATACCCCCAGGTGATTCAACTGCTGCTGTTGGTTAGGAGAAGAAAGATGCAGAGTAGGCGACCAATCCCTGTCTCAGGAATGATTAGGGCTGGTTTGTGTGCTGAATACATGTATAGGAATATTTTAGGGCTCGTTAGGCTGATATCAATTCCACTCTACCCCTGCGTCACAGAGTTACAGGTTCCTGAAGCATGAGGACCCTCCTCCCTCAATCAGAGACCCCCAAAATAATTACTACCATGTGTTGAATTCTAGAAATTGATGACTTTGTTCATTCCATACAAAATAACCTGCGCTTCCCACCCAGTCCCTGCTTGCTTAGAGTGTCATATTTGGATTCAAGGAAACTGGGATACAGATGTGTTTCAAAGGATACACACTGCATCTGTGAGTCCCCAAGTTACTCCGCTGATATTAAGTTTTTGGTTTTTTCAGAAACCAACATAATTACTGTAATCTTTCTTATCCCATTCATAGCACTTATCTTATTTCGAAAACAGCTCCCTAGAGAAACACTCATAAATCCCTTTGAAATAATTATAAACTTAATGTTTGAGCTTTTCATGCGCAGAAGTTGAAAATGTTACCCTTTTATGACAAATTAGAGAACAAACAAATCACTAAAGATGATAAGAAAGTCCAACTGTAGTTTATTTAATGGGATTGTGGGATTACAGTTGGGAGCATGGAAAGAGTGGAAGAGAACAAACAAATGTTTAAAAACGAAATAAAAAGATGAATGATTTATATTCCTCTGGGTAAATACCCAGTAATGGGATCACTGGGTAGAATGGTAGTTCTGTTTTTAGCTTTTTGAGGAAATGTCATACTGTTTTCCACAATGGTTGAACTAATTTACCCTCCTACTAACAGTGTACAAGTGTTCTCTTTTCTCTGCAGCCTTGCCAGCATCTGTTATTTTTAACTTTTTAGTAATAGTCATTCTGATTGGTATAAGATGGTATCTCATTGTGGTTTTTATTTGCATTTCTCTAATGATCTGTGATAATGAGTTTTTTTTCATATGCTTTTTGGCCACATGTCTTCTTTTCAAAAGTGTCTGTTTATGTTCCTTGCCCACTTTTTAATGAGATTGTTTATTTTTTTCTTGCAAATTTGTTTAAGTCCCTTTAGATGCCGGATATTAGACCTTTGTCAGATGCATAGTCTGCAAATATTTTGTTCTCTTCTGTAGGCTGTTTACTCTGTTGATAGTTTCCTTCGCTGTGCAGAAGCTCTTAGGTTTAACCAGATCCTCTTTGTCAACTTTGGCTTTTGTTGTGATTGCTTTTGGTGTCTGCGTCATGAAATCTTTCTAGAACATAACAACACATGCATGCGAATGTTCACTGCAGCATTATTCACAATAGAAAAGACATAGAATCAAACTAAATGCCCATCAATGACAGGTTGTAAAAAGAAAATGGGGTACATATACATCATGAAATACTATGCAGTCACAATAAAGAACAAGATCATGTCTTTTGCAGAAACATGGATGGTGGCCATTATCCTTAGCAAACTAATGCAGGAACAGAAAACTAAATACGGCATGTTCTCATTTATAAGTGAGAGTTTAATAATGAGAACACATGGACACAAAGAAGGGAACAACGTGGCCGGGCGCAGTGGCTCACACCTGTAATCCCAGCACTTTGGGAGATTGAGGTAGGCAAATCACAAGGTGAAGAGATCGGGATCATCCTGGCCAACGTGGTGAAACCCTGTCTCTACTAAAAATACAAAAATTAGCTGGGCTTGGTGGTGCGCGCCTGTAGTCCTAGCTACTCAGGAGGCTGAGGCAAGAGAATCACTTGAACCTGGGAGATGGAAGTTGCAGTGAACCAAGATCACACCACTGCACTCCAGCGTGGTGACAGAGTGAGACTCCGTCTCAAAAAAATAATGAAACTACAGACACTGGGGTCTACCGGATGGTGGAGGGTGGGAGGAGGGAGAGGAGCAGAAAAAAATTGCTATGGGGTATTAGACCTAATACCTGGGTGATGAAGTAATCTGTACAACAAACCCCCATTACACGAGTTTATCTAAATAACAAACCTTCACGTGTACCTCCAAACCTAAAATGAAAGTTTTAAAAAAAGATAAATGGAAATTCCTGTAAGTCCATAGGCTTCATGTGATTTATAAATCCATAAATTTGTAACTTGTTTCTTCTACTTGCTTTTCTTAGGATGTCATTGCCAAACAGTTCTGCCTGTCGTCTTCTCTGCTGGGCTGGTACCCAAGAGACTACAGATGTCAAAGGTAAGTGCAACATGAGAAGTTTCTGGGCCCAGCCCTTTTGCCAGGGTTGCTGTGTTTCTTTCAGGTTCTTTTTTTTCTCTGACTTCACTGAGATATGATTGACAAATAAATATTGTAAAGAAAATGTGGTATGTATACACCATGGAATACTACACAGCCATGAAAAAGAATGAAGATGTGAGCTGTGGCTCACACCTGTAATCCCAGTACTTTGGGAGGCCGAGGTGGGTGGATCACTTGAGGTCACGAGTTCGAGACCAGCCTGGCCAACATGGTGAAACCCGTGTCTACTAAAAACAGAAAAACAATATTAGCTGCGTGTGGTGGTGCATGCCTGTAATTCCAGCTACTCAGGAGGCTGAGGCAGGAGAATCGCTTGAACCCAGAGCTTGCAGAGCTCGCAGTGAGCCGAGATGGTGCTATTGCACTCCAGCCTGGGTGACAGAGCAAGACTATGTTTTAAAAAACAAAACAAAACCAACTGACCAACCAAACAAACAAAAACAGACCTACTCTCTTAGCAATTTTTTTTTTTTTTTGAGACAGGGTCTCACTCTGTTACCCAGGCTGGAGTGCAATGGTGCGATCTCGGTTCACTGCAAACTTTGCCTCCCAGGTTCAAGTGATTCTCATGCCTCAGCCTCCCAAGTAGCTGGGATTACAGGAGCCTGCCTCTATGCCTGACTAATTTTTGTATTTTTAGTAGAGATGGGATTTCACCATGTTGGCTATGCTGGTCTCAAATTCCTGACCTCGTGATCTGCCCAACTCAGCCTCCCAGAGTGCTGGGATTACAAGCATAAACCACCATGCCCGGCTCTCTTAGGAAATTTTAAGTATACATTGTAACTAACCATAGTCACCATAGTGTACATAAGGTCTCCATAAGTATTCATCTTATAACTGAAAGTTTGCACACCTTGACCAAAAATTCCCCATTTATCTTACCTTACACCTCCTGGTAACCACTGTTCTACTATGCTTCTATAACTTCGACTTTTTAGATTACACATATGAGTGAAATTATGCAGTTTTTGTCTTTCTGTGGCTGAGTAATTTCACTTGGCATAATGTCCTCCAGGTACATCCATGTTGTCACATAGACCGAGATGTCCTTCTCTTTAAGGCTGAATAATTTTCCATTGTATGTATATACCACATTTTCTTTATCCATTCATTATCGACAGACGCATAAGTTGTTTCTAGATCTTGACTCTTGTGAATAATGCTGTAATGAACACGGGAGTGCAGATAGCTCTTCAAGGTCATGATTTTATTTCCTTTGGATATGTATCAGTAGGATTGTTGGATCATACAGTGATTCTATTTTTAATTTTTTTTTGAGAACCTCCCAATTAACATTTCCATCAACAGTGGATAAGGGTTTCCTTTTCACACATCTCTGACAACACTTATGTTTTAACTTTAATAGCCTTTCTAACAGGTAGAAGTGATACCTAGCTGTGGTTTTGATTTGCATTTCCCTGAATTTAGTGAGGTTGAGAACATTGTTATATACTTTTTGGCCATTTGTATGTGCTATTTGGAAAAATGTCTCTTCAAGTCATTTTCCCATTTTTAAATCAGTTTTTTTTTCCTGCTATTTAGTTGTATGAGTTTGTATACCAAAAGTATCTGAGACAGGTCTCAATCAACTTAGAAAGTCTATTTTGCCAAGGTTAAGGATACATCTGTGAACAGCCTCTGGATGTCCTGACAACATATGCCCAAGGTTAGGGTAGAGCTTGCTTTTATACATGTTAGGGAGACACGAGACATCGGTCAATGCATATAAGATGTACATTGGTTCAATCCAGAAAGGCAGGACCACTCAAAGCAGGGCCTACCAGGTCAGAGGCAGATTTAAAGATTTTCTGATTAGCAATTGGTTGAAAGAGATTTTATCTAAAGACCTGGAATAGATTAGAAAGGAATGTCTGGATTTTGATAAAGGGATCTGGAGACCAAGGTTTTATCATGCAAATGAAGCCTACAGATAGATTTCAGAGAGAATAGACTGTGTTTCTTATCAGATTTAAAGAGTCTGTTCTATCAGTCTTAAACTCTCTCTGTTGATGTTTGTGAGGCATATCTGACCCCCAGTTTCCATCAGACCCTGAACTAGTTTTTCAGGATAATATGAAATGCCCTTGGCTGAGGGGAGCGTCCACCAGTCAGTTGGGGGCGCTTAGAATTTTATTTTTGGTTTACAAGTTCATTATGTACTTTGGATATTAACTCCTTATCTGAGAGATGGTTTGCAAATATTTCCCCTTATTCTGTCAGTTTTCATTTCATTGATAGTTTCCTTCCCTGTGCAGAAAGTTTTTGTTTAATATAGTTCCATTTGTTTATTTTTACTTTAGTAGACTTTGCTATTGATGTTATATCCAAAATTCACTACCAAGACCAATGTCAGAAAGCTTTCTCCCTGTGTTGTCTAGGAGTTTCTTGTTTTCGGGTCTTATATTTAACTCTTTAACCTATTTGAGTTGATTTTTGTGTGTAGTGTAAGATAAGAGTACAGTTTCTTTCTTTTATATGTCGATATCCGGTTTTCTCAGCCCAATTATTGATGAGACTACTGTGGGAGCCATAGGCTCTTGGCTCCCTAAAGCTTTGGTAAAAATCACTGACATGAGGCAGATTGATTAATAGGAGAAAAGGCATAAACATTTATTTAACATACATCCATGGGAGCCTTCAGAATAAAAACCCAACTTCCCAATGAGTTACAGAAACATGTATATTATCCTGAGGCCACAGTAAAGAATGCAGACTCAGAGAATGTCCAGAAACAGGTAAATCAGGCTTAATGGCAAGGCAGGTTTAGAGAGAGAGAAATGAGGAGGCTTGACTGGCAAAGGTGGCTTTTTTATGTAGATGAAGCCTCCCTCAGAGAAAATAGATGGTAAATGTTTCTTTTCAGATTTTTAAAGGTGTCAGTTCATCTGCCAGAGTTGGAGGAAAAAGTTTTAAATAAATAAATAATAAAGGTGTCAAACTCTCAACCTCTCCTGGATCTGGAGGAAGGCATAGAAAGGGGAGGGGGCATGACTTCATTAATGGAGATTCTCTACAGATGCAAATTTCCCCCACTTAGAATAGCTTCACAAGGCCACTTCTGTCTGCTGGCCAAGTAGCAGCCATTTAAAAATACGTCAAAGAAATATATTTTTGGATAAAGTATTTTAATTTCTTTCACTATTCTTTCCCTATTGTGTATTCTTGGTGCTTTTGCTGAAGATTAGCTAACTATATGCATGGGTTTATTTCTGGGTTCTCTATTCTTTTTCATTGGTCTATGTGTCTTGTTTTTATGCCAGCGCCATGCTCGTTTGATTGCTACAGTTTTCTAATATATTTTGAAATTAGGACAAATGTTTTTTTCTTGCTGCTTTCAAAATTCTCTTTGTCTTTGATTTTTGAAAGTTTTGTTACTGATGGCAAATCCATACAGGTCTGCAGCAATCTCAATTCTTGCCTCCTTAGAAGAAAGAATTTGACTGAAGGGCATAAGCAGAAGGAGAGACCAAAGCAAGTTTCAGAGCAGGAGTAAAAGTTTATTAAAAAGCTTTAGAGCAGGAACGAGAGAAGGTAAAACACACTTGGGAAAGGGTGAAGCAGGTGACTTGAGAGATTACCTTGGAAGAGGCTAAAGCGGGCAACTTGAGAGATCAAGTGTGCAGTTTGACCTTTGGCTTGGGGTTTCATATGTTAGCATGCTTCCAAGGCCTTGCATGCCTTCTCCCCTGTTTCTTCCCTTGAGATGGGCTGTCTGCACGTGCAGTGGCCTGCTAACACTTGAGAGGAGAGCATGCAGTGTGTTTACTGGAGCTGTACACATGCTCATTTGAGGCATTCTTCCCTTACCAGACAAATGTCTTTAGAAGGCCATGTACTAGTTAACTCCACAATTTTGCCTCTTAATGTGTAAGCTTGAGCCCATTCACCAGACTCCTGAGATCTTATTGGGATGCTGCTGATCACCAGTTTCAGGAGTTTCTATGTATTGGGAGACTGCCTTTCCCTGGCATCTGCTATGACCAATTATTATTTGAGAGAGACAGTTAGCAATCACCTGACCATAGCTTGATGGTTGCCTGATATTCCTGTTGTGTGTGTGTGGCAAGGTTGGAGGCTAGGCCATCTCTTGCCCTGCTCATGCCTGACTAACTACCTCCTGTAACATTTCCCCCCTCAAGAGTCCAGTACCCCAATTCTTTGGGGAAAGTGGATGAAGGTCAGTCTTCTGTAACTGATTCCTGCTGACAGAGAGGAGTGGTAGTGATTGTTCTGCAGGTCTTGGCCTCTTGCTAGCTGTCAGGGCAGAGCTGGTTCCATGGGTTGGTGAAAGCAGTATCCAACCAGGTCCAAGAGACAGGGACAGGATTTTGCCTCTGTCATGTCCCACTAATGTGCAGTCTAGGGGTCCTCTGTAGAAGGCTGGCTCTTGAATATTGAGAGGACAGTATCCCTCACTGATGATCACATGGAGCTTGATGGCCTGAAGGTGAGAGGCGAGAAATAGGATTATTAGAATTAGAAGAATGCTAAGCCAAAATAAGGGGATGATGATAGCTCCAAAAAATTCTGAGACTGCCAATATGCTCAGGTAGCTGGTGGCTATAGTTATGCCTGCTAAGACTTGGGTGCATGGGGTTGCTAGCTGATTCCACTGGGTTCTTGGGGTTGCCAGCTGATTCCAATATGTGCCCAGAATTAGAATATTGATCCAGATTTTTACATTACGCATCCGTCTTGTTTCTTCTGACCTGCAGCCAGAGATCACTGGTTGGTTCACAGGAATAAGCAGGGTTAATCTAAATTGCAGAAGAAAACTCAAAAACTGATGAGACTAGAATCTAATAATAGGTGTACCATAGTTTTTGAAACATAATTTTTTTCTCTCTGGTCCTCAGTTTTATTAAAGACAAATCATGATAGAACTGACTTGTTCACAAAATAAACTTTAGTCTTATTATACTTGGCATGGTTAT